TTTGTTTAATCCTCTAGAATACAAATTTGAAATTGATTGCATACACTTACAAAATAAATAATGATTGCATACACTTACAAAATATCATATATATTCTGTAAAATAAAATATTGATTTATTTAAATATATCTCGAATCCTAATATAATTTGTGGTGATAAACAAAGTACCAACAAACCAAATAAATAATATTGTGCAATAATGTGTCTAATAATATATAAGTTAAATGTTGTTTCTTCCAATATAATTTACCTTAATAAAACTAGCCTGTGCACGACACTGGTACCACCCTAGTATAAATTTAAGCAAGGAAAGCTTATAAATAAAATGTGATTTTTTTTTAACTAATGGTAAAATAGTCATTTACTTCGATTTTTGGCCTACAAACCTAGTAAGTACTTGAGGGCAATTGCGTCCATTCACCAATTCCCACGGTCAAATCCGGAACTATGTGCACGAAAAAATTGCAGTGAAAAGAAGAAAAAAAACCTATGGATTCTCTGATCGTGACACGTCATCTTCCAATCCATAAGCTCCAGCTCAGCAGTCAAATAAACGGTCCAGATAATTTCCGCAATTCTCATCGGACGGCCTGAGACCCTCTATTCTAGAGACTTCCACAATTCAAGGCTATATATAGCTCTGGTTAGCTTAACCTAATCGCACTTCACGGGATAACTCAACTGTGGTTAGAAACATGACGGTCTAAAGAAAAGAGCGCAAGGCAATCACAAGAAAGAAAAAATAGAAGCCATTATTATATGTACACACATAACACTAGTTTACGCGCAGATATAGAGAGAGAGTGTACGGTGAGAGTGAGCACACAGAGCAAGAAAGGGTGTAGCGAGAAAGGGTCTTCGCCGCTTTTGGCCTTTGGTGGCTTGAGGGGAAAGATTAAGTGGGTACCCAAAATCTTGCCGTTATAAAGACCTCACCGTTTTGTTGTCCCGGCCGCCGGTTAATCGCAGGGCTTTTGAAGGGCTGTAAAGGGATAGGGAGAAGGGTAGAAGGGATTCTTCAGGTCTGGACATTTGGTGAGTTAATTGAGAGTTTTTGCGGTTCTTTTCCTTTTTGTTTTGGTTTTTTGAAAAAAAAAAGACTTGATTTTTTTGTTAATCTTGTTTGGAATGGTTGATGGTTTGTGTGTTTTGATCAGCTTTAAGTTTAAGATGAAGTTGATTAGAATCCATTAGTGAGTATGAATGCAGTAAATTATCATTTTGCGGTGTGTAGTGTGTGAAATCGGTTTGTTTTGATGAATCAGATGATGTGAAACACGCGTGTGATGCGTGTTTTTTTTTTTTTTTTTGGATAGTTTACGTTGTTTGGTCGAAGGATTTATTGTATATCGAAATTTAATGTGGGCGATGCTGAAATAGTAGTTTCTTGGTGCTTGCTTGCTCATGACTTTACTTGGTATCATTTCTTTTATGTTGAGTTTGTACTTACTCACTCTTTCTTATTTAGAATTTGTTTGATTCGAAATGGCTCTGATGATGATGTGATCTCATGACAAGATCTTCATTCTCTCGGTAGACTTCTGAAGTAACCGGTCCTTTGGTTCAGTTGGCAGTTTTTTTCGAGGTGTGTGTTCAGATCTTAGTTTTCACGTGTTGATGATCGTTAGTGGATCAGAAAAAGTATTTCTGGTTCCTTCACAATTAGCTTCCGAGTTTGGTGAAAGGG